GCGATGATCCGAATCTTTCCGGAATTTCAGCGTGCAAGGTGACGCCGCGCGCTGCAGGGCGGCCGCAGAGGTGCCGGCGAGGCGCCAGCATGAGAGGGCCAGCGCCGCGGCCAACGGCACCCCGCAGAACGTCCAGGGCATCACCTCCTACCAGCAGCGGTGAGTAGTCCCGCCCGGGCTGGGAGCGTGCCCCCGTCCCGGGGTGCCGGGGTGGGACGCACTTTACCTCCTGTTTTCTGTGTTACGACACATGCACATCGCTAGAGCGCACTTTGCTCGCCCCTCGTTCCACGGAGGAGAAAGAAAAGAATAATTCACAATTCGGATCGAAAGGCACTCCGATGTGCTGACAAAGTGAAATCGTCGTTTGCCCTCTGCCTGGCCCCGAAGCCAGAGCCTCAGTCCCGCTAGCCAAAGAGTTGCAGAGAAGTCTGAGACACCGCACAAGGTGCTTTGGCAAAGTTTGGGTCCCCGTCCCCTTCAGCGGTGCTCTCTCAGTGCCTCCGCCGGGTGCCGACTCTCGCTGACGGGCAGCCAGGGCGGCAATTGATCACCCGAGGCTGATTGATCATTTGTTTCCAAACAGAATAGGAACGATTTTCACGTGTAGCTGTAGACTTGCAATTCTACATAATAGTGTTATCGTGTCACCTGTTACTACAGGGAAATACAGCATGAAATCCGAGTCTCCTAGGCGCTGTTAAGTATTCATCTTAAACGCATTATAATGCAAATGCATAAGATTCAGAGATGCGAGTTAGGAAGCAAATTTTACAAAGTTAGTCTGGGTGGTGAGAAAGAAGCAAGTTTTAAAGTATGACTTGTTTGCATTTTCTCCCAGATATTTATAAATTTAAAAAAATATGACTGTGACGTTGAAATAGTAAACGTTCTTTGAATCAGTAAGGAAAGAAAGGGGGAAAAAATTACCACCACCAATGCCCTAGAACCCTAAAGTTTTTCCTTAGGGACAACTTGTGATGTCCCAAGATTGTATGGAAAATGTAATCCACAAAAATGTGCTGAGGAAAACTAACAATGTAGTATGAAAGGTAAGCCCCCCCCCCATTTGTGGGGCTCAGTTCTTTTAGAAGATGGAGAGAAAACAAGAACACATGAAAATGTGAAATTAAATATTTGTGTTTCCCAGATTGCACACGATTAAACATCTGAGAGATTTGCCAATGGCATTTAACTTAAAATATACACAATGCATAATTCAAACAACAGTTCCTATTTTTACCTTGTATTTCAAACTTCATTGATTTGAGAACCTTTGATTTGAACCAACAGTGTTTAAACTGAAAAGGTTAAGATAATCTATCACTGCCATATTTTGTGCCTTCTAACCAATGGCTCAGCGGCCAGAGCAGATTTTGCATAACACACTGAATGTTTTCCAAGTTGATGCCCAATGCTGCAAATATTCTGTGGAAGACTTCATTATATGCTTTAAGTACTGTTGGAAGTTTTCAAAAAAGTCTTGAAAATAACTCAAAAAGAGGCTGTTCCTTGTCACAGAGATTTTTTTGTTGTTGTTGTTTAAGTTATTCTAGTCTTGTTTTACTTCAGTGATTACAAAAACCTTTAATACAAAAGATCTGGGAATCTTTCAAACATAAAGGACTTAGAAAAGAATTCGATTTAGAAAAGAATTAGATTTTTTTTCATGGTTCAGGTATGGTTTTTTTGTCACTTATAAAACATTTAAATGACAATAGACTCAGGCGGTCACTTTAACCAGGAAGTGGAAGCAATTGTCACAATAGTGTGGTCTGTGAAGTAGGGATCAAGGGTCAGAGATGTCAGATAGCTTTTGGACCATTTCAGGGAATTCTGGGCAACTTCAACTAGCCCATAAAATATAAATTGGGCGTAAAGGGAGGTGGTGGATTCAGTCTGTAGATTTGTTCTCAGAGTGTTGGTGTCTTTTACCATGAAGATATTCCCATGTCCAATTTTCCTGTAAGTCAGGAGCATCCCGGGGTTACTCTCCATGGCCCCCCACTCCAACACTGACAGCTCAATGATGCCTTCCACAGTCACCTTTGCAATCAGGCCACTTCATCAAGTCACATAATCCCACCACTTGTTCTAAAGACTAAAGCTCTGAAAACAATCAACTCTAAAATTTAGCCTTTGGGAGGTATTATTCCCTTCCTCTCTTTTTACGTCCTGTCACATTGACAGAAGAGAAGGTGTTAGCTATGAAAAATGTAGCCGCCCTTGGTTTCTTTACTCCGATTTGATGACACCTGTTACTCCTTTGAGTTTCAGAATTTGGAGACAGGAGAGTGAGTCATGTGGGGCAAGATTATTGGCAGGTGTTTAAGGGAGGGTCTGAGTCAGCAGTTAAATCCCCTGTCCTCTGGCACCTCATCAGGAATGTAGGCCACCAACATGTTAGGCTTTAGGGGCTATGAGGGGCAGACTTAGTTTCCACCTCAAGACCTGGATATGATCTCTAAAGCAAAAAAAAAAAAAAAAAAAAAAGTTTTTCATTAAAATCTTTTGGGGAATCTGATGAGGGAGTGACTTGGGTGGTGGTGATGTGGGTGTGGAGGGGTTCATGCAGAGAGTGGCCTGTTGGGAGAACACAAGCTTTTCTCATTTGTCATCTTTGGGCAGAAACACCCTTGGCTGGCTGCCCTGGAGTTGTCCAACTGGCAACTTTCCCTCCTCTCTCCCAGCCCATATATCTTGGACTCAACACTCTTAAGTTCATTTTTCAATCACTCTCATCTTCTCCTACCTGTCGAGTGTACTCCAAAGAGAATTCGAACACCATCATGCAGATTAAACACCTCTGCGATGAAAAACATATGTTTTCAGTTTCCAACTCTCAACCTTACTTTACTGGAATAGAATGGTAGGACTGAATGGGACCCCTTTGCAGGTCTATTTTTTCTTAAATTTAAAGTACAGTGCAAAGCTTCACATAGGACCGTTTTCCTCCTGGCTTTTTCGTTTATTCAAGTGCTTTGGGAGCCCCTTCCACTTTCTCGGTTGACACATGACTGACCCAAGTCTCTGTCCCCAAAGCTGCCCACACCCAGCAGAGTGCTTTAGTGGAGATAAGCTCTGAGCAGGGTCTACCCAGGTAACAGGATTCCAGCACTGGCACTGCACCTAGTGGAGCTTTCCTTAGGCCTCCTTGGGCTGCAAAATGGGGAGGCAGCTAGACTAAACAGAACCAGAGCCCGTAGTTTGGTCCGGTCCTGTCCCAGGTACCGGGAGCCCAGCCGTGAGCAGCGTTTGTGCATAACTGCGTTTGAAGTCCTGGGGGATCGACTGTGAACACTGGGTTCTCCAAAAAATACGAGTACGAAAAATGCAGACGCTGCTGCTGGGGATTCGGGTTACACCACTATGAACACAAGG